CGGCCCGCGGGTGCGCTCATCGCTTAACAAATGCATGTGAGGGGGAACATGATTAAATCCCTCCAGTAAATATTAGAAAATACCGTTTCTCCTCACCTGCCTGCGAATAGTTTGGTGGCCACTCCTGTTCTATTTGATTATAAGTCTCCTACAAGGGTAATGATGTTGTGTCTGCTTTAGAGAGCTGTAGCCCAATTCAAAATATTTTAAGTTGAAAGGAAGACGCTGATTTCTAAGCAAAGACCTTTACCTCCATGTTTAGCCTAGAGTTAGTTTTGATGCTTTAATTCTAAAGCTTTGGTAACAACAATTAGCATGCTAAGAATAATAAATTACTGTGGTATGCAACTTAGCGCATTCCTTGAAAAGCACAAGAAAACCTCTCTAAAGCTTGGAAGCTCTGTAGAGGTTTATTCTTATAAGTAATGTCAAGTTCCACTTCATGTTTTAGACAAAGACTTCCAAAACATGCCTTGAGGCATCATCCACTGCCAGAACCACGAGCGGAGGCGTGCCCAGCCACACCCACAGCTGAAAACTACAGTGAGAGCTCAAGGTACTTGTCATAACATAACATGAATCTTTGTCTGGAGACAATGGCAAAACCAGGCAGTAATTCAGTTGGTAAGCTTAAGCTTTACCTCAGAACTGTATCATTGCAGAATGTGTCCTTCCTATTCTGGAAATAATAAAAAGTGCCTAGCTGTGTTCTGTTCCCAGCTCACCAATAGCCTGGGTCATCTAATTTTATGGCAGAAACAAGAGGAGAAAAGAGAAAAATAGTCCCCGAGTGGTGTAGAACCAGCATTAGAAATAGTCTGTAGCTTAACTAACATAATTCTTCAAAAATCTATGTTTTGCTTGACTTCTAGACTTCCCATGTCATTGAGATTACTAGGTATCAGTTGTTGTAATTACTTGTGTACTATGGCTTCTGCTTAAATGCCTCTGAAGTAAATATTTACCTTATGAAAACTCTCATTGCTAAGAACCTGTTCTGGTGTATCTATGCTTTTTTGTACAGAAAGAAAAGTTTGCTTACCTACTTTATTTGTCATTGTGTATTGTTGAGGTTTTTCTTTTTTTTTTCCTCAACATGTGCATTTCAGGGAGTCTGAAATCTGGAAGGAGTCAGGTGACCACTCTGTTACTCCAGCTGATCGTGGGAATTCATGGTCTGCTAGTCAGAGGTATGCCGACACCTCCACCGAAGACAGCTTGGGCTTCTCTTGGGGCTGTGATGTGAGTAGAACATAATTATCCAAGACAAATCTAGCACCGTGAGTAGAAAGACACTAGAAATACCATTGCAAATACATTTCAGGATAAAAGTGGGGATTGGACCTGTCAATAAATCATGACAGTGATTATAGAAAGAATACCTTTTTTTACCTCTTCCCCATCTTTCCTTTTTCCCAGGTCAAAACACATTGGGCTCATATTATCCAATTAATATTCTGCATTTCCATCTAAAGCTTTGGAAATGCAAATCATTTAATGCATAAATATATCTATATGACATAAGAAATGTCGTTGTTGCAGAATCCGAAACATGAACGGATGACTTTCAGACACTTCATGTGAGTTTATCAGACTTCTGAATACTTGCATGTTTGTCAAAATATAGTAAGCCCCTAAAATGTTATTTTCATTTAGAAATATCTGTCTTATTCCCCATCTACCAAGACAAAGTGTGCTATTGCTTTCTATGAGGTGAGATGGAAATGTTTAGATTTAAATTACCCAGGAACCGACCCCATTTTTTATCTACATGAGAACATGTAACAAAAGTCCTGAACATCCTTTGCTTTCAGTGTTTCACACCAGCCTGCGTTGCTTGTTGTTTTGCTGTTGTCCATGGACATTGCAAGCAACAAATTTTCCATTTCATTAAAATGTTGCTGAATGCTATCCTTCCTCTTCTGAATGACATTTTATGTAAATTACTGTGTCTTTAACTTCATATAATAATACAGATATTTCAGAATGTTTTAATAGTTTTTCTGCTGTGTCAATGTAAGCCTTTTATGTAGCTACCATCAGTCCTAACAGCAGTTTGCATCATCTCCGGGCGGAATTTGAAGTTAATATCTTTCTATGCAAAAGAAACAGAACTGTTCAAATCAGTCCCACTAAGCTTTAAACAAATAATTATCTTTTTTCAATTATGAAAAAAAATAATTAAAAAACCTCTCTGAATGCTATTCACGAGGTATTTATTGGATTTATTTGTAGGAATTCGATAAAGCTGCCACACAACAAGTTCAGCAAATGTTCAGACAAATTGATGAGCTTCTTTATGAGCAGAAAGAAGATGTCCATATTGAGGCACTGTGGGAAGAATGCCACCAGTGGACATCCAACTTTCCTCACCTCAGGTATTTTATTAATAGACTAACACTGGTACCATCACAGAGTTACAAAAGGGTAGGGATGGAAACAGTTGCTTTTTAAAACAACACTAGTAGCAGGGTGGGTTTGTGCAATTCTATAGTAGCTGGAGATAAAAAGATGACTGTGGTAGTTTACCTGCCATTGTCATTAATAAGCATTCTGTTATCTCAGGGTTGGTTCCTTGCCCCAGGACTATTGCTATTTGCAGCTGACTTGGCTTTAACATAACAAAAGTCTCTTAGAAAAGAGGTATGGGTAGAGCTAAAAGGTAGGTGCTTAATTTAAAAATCCTCCTACCCTAGCTCAGCTGTCCTTATGGCTACCTAGAAATGTAAATTTTAAATCTTCATTATGAGTACTTGAACAGTTTTGTCCATATTCAAAAGTCTTACAATCAGCAGAGCATAAAAAAGCAGGCAGAATTTTCTTCATGTACTTACCTGATCGGAAGGAATCTGTACCAGGGAAAACAACTGAAACCCCATTTAGCTATCACCCAGAAAACTGCGTAGCTTCCCTAGAGAATTTTTAGGATTTTCTGCTGTGTGTTCTTATACACTTACAATAATCTCACTTGCAACATTTTCTGATTTATTTATCCTTCGCTTTTGCCATGGCAGGGTTGTGGGGAAGCAGGTAGTGATCCCCACAGATGAAGGGTATGGATGGTATTCAAGTTCACCTTCTGGCAGTTTACGTTCCTCAGATGTAAGTTCACCGCAAGAAAAAGATTCTAATGAGTAAGTACCAACAGCTCATCCAGACTGTACCAAGGTGGGTGATTTTGGTCTCAGTGGACCAAAGTGGTAGGCTTCTTAAAATGTGAAGCCTAACTCCTTTCTGTTAGTCTGAGCATGCTTTTTTTTTTAGATTTTATCTAAAAGTAGTACATTCAGAATAGCAAGACTACATAGCTGTGCTTGTTGCTGACTATAGTTAACTGGTCAGTAAATGAAAACACCTTTGCTGCTGCTGACTTCTTAAGAATATGGATGTATTGTAGCTGGTTTTGTTGTTAATCATCTATTAAGTTTGTCTAGAACTTCAAAAATACAAAGTACTACATTAGTACTACTTTTGTTATTTAATGTTTTAGAACTTTTTTTAATTAGCTTTGAATTTTTTCTAAAGTTTCAAGTTCTTTAGCAAGAATTAAAAATATCCAGAGAGTTTCTACTGTAATGAGTAATTTCTTAGCCTCCCTACTGCTTGGCCTTAACTACCGTATTGTCTCTCAGCCTCTGAGTTCACCAAATGCTGCTATTTGAAGTGGAATAACAACTTACTTTCATTTCTGCTTTCTGAAAACTATCACCTGTTCAGATTTAGTGTTTTTGGCAAGAAGGTACCTCTTTCTGTTACTCCTGTTCACAAAAAGGCTGAACGTTCCAAGTCTCCGACCTTGTGTTCTTCAGAGAGCGAAGAAGATGAAGATGGAGTAATTGTTTCTGAAGGTGTAATGGAGGAATATTTAGCATTTGACTCCAGAGATGTGTAAGTATTGAATATTAAGATAGCACCTAGTCCCACTGTCCTGAAATTTCTGCTGTTAAGATAGAGATAAAGATACATAAACATATATTTGATTTTGATGTTGGTGGGTAAGCTATTTGATTATTATTTTTTATATATATCTCTCCTTCCTCTACAGAAGTTTCAAAAGCCTGAGGTTGATAGGGCACTGGGAATTCTCATAATCCCATCTCCTAGGAAAAATTATTTCATTAAATAATTTTTATCCTTTTAAAAATAATTTTTCATGCTAGCCATTTTTGTGCCTGGTTTAAATAGTTCATGCCACCATAACTAGAAGCCTTATTTGTATTGGCATATGTAATAAAACTTGTTTAACTGCTGTTTATTTTTTTTATACTGAGGATAATTAATTGTTGTTTGTCATGTACTAGCAGTGTGCTGCTTTGGTTTTGTACTGGGATTTTGGGTGGAATTGTACCTTTCCAGCTTTTCAGTGGTAATTTAAGAATTAGAGGGGATTTGATGCTTGCCAAGAAACAACTACCACTATTTTTATCTTAAGAAGAAAGGATTAAGGGTAGCACAAAGAGGATTCTTTTTGCCCTTTTACTTTATTCAACCCAACAATATGAACATATGGCCTGGCTAAGGACTCTGGATGGTAACGTCAGTTGCTAACTACTTAATTGGTTTTAATAAATAAAGCCATTTATCTGCATGGACCATGAGATTCAAATTGGTAGGTGATATGCACTGGCCAGACCTGAGAGATATTGCTGCAGCAAACAATATTGATGTCTTTATAATGGTAAAATGCTTTTTCTAGTGTTATCTCCTTTTTTTCATGGGGTTTGTAGCTCTTTGATGTTAAGTGCTAATTCAGGGAGCACATATGAAAGCTATAATAAATGTGCTTGCATCAGTATATTTTTCCTCCCTTCTATAGAGTTTCTTCTGGTAGATGAACATGAACTTTTACGAGCAGTCATCTTCCAGGTTTCACATTTCAGAATACCTCTTGCATTGTGGAAGGGTCTACAGCAAAGGCTCCTTGGTTGCTGTGAATTAGGGGTTTTGTGCTTTCTCATTGATTACACCTAATTGTCTAAAAGTGACTTAAGCCCTTGCACTGAGCACCTTCTGAGTGTTAGAGTTGCAGGCTGAGTGGCACTAAGCAGTCATGAGTAGTATCATTCCTCTTTCTTATCTTCAGAATTCTGTAGGTAGGTGGGGAGCCTAACAATGTGATGAACAAATATCACTGTAACTATTAATGTTTATTTTTAAATGGATCTTTCATCTGCTCTGTAAATTATTTATTACTCATGAAGTATCATTTATATTCATTCTGAACAGGGGAACCAAGGTGTGCAGTGATAAGGTGATTGTCTCAGTCCTTTCTCATTTAGGTCAGTGAGAGATTCTGGAAGAAGTAAAAGTTCAAGTGCAGAACAGAAACTTCTGTGCAAAGTACAGAAGCTTGCTTCTTTCAGTATTAGACTAAGTTATTTGATATTGCTATTTATTGTACTGTCAGTTCTCAGAAAACAATGTTATAAATATGAAACTTCTCCTCAAATAATTGTCTTCATGCTCTGTGGCCAGCTGCCTTGACCTCTTTCAGTTTAAGAGAAAACAGAATAGAAATGCAGCCTTAGCTGATGTTTTAATCATCTCAAATAAGGGCAACAAAAATACAGGAGACAAAGAAAATGTACTAATGGTACAGAAAGTACTCACATTTTTACAGGGAGGAGTTGCATGAGAGGAAAATTGGACTCTCCTGTAGTAGACGGAAATTGGGGTTTCCTCCTATCTCTCCGTATTCCTGCATGAAGGATTCTGTGCTGACATTTGTGTTTGATGATGTGTGGAGTGAAGTCCTAGGCTGCATGGAAGAATTAATCTGCAGACACTGGGAAGGGTCGGCCTCTGGTAAGGATCACAGTTAAACTGAAGATTCAAAAGGGGATTTCAGTTACTTAATTTTGCAAGGATGCAATAAGAGAGAGATGTATTCTTCAGGGGAAAAAAAAAAAAGGTTATTTACTTTGCTAACAGCGTGAGACATGCCTTCAAAAGATTTAACAGAGCTTACCATCCAAGAGGACTCTTTTAAAAAATTGAGATTCATAGCACTGTCCACAACTAGCAATGCCAATTGTCTGTATTAACAGGAATTCTCTGTTGTTTTACATAGATGATGAGAAAAATATCATAACAATAGAAACAATCAGAGCAGATGCCGGAAGCCCTTTGCAGTTTGATCCTCTGCCAGCGTTGTTACCTCATGTGCCACCAACTAAAATGCCCTCAGCGACATCAAATCTGGTAAGTATTTTTAGCCAGCTGGTTTGCGTAGGGATGAATCAATACAGCGCTACCTAAGCAAACAGATTCAATTATGTCAGGGGACTGTTTAGATACATAACTAGTTTGGATTTTGGATGAATGCTGACTGTCCTTTCTAGTACTTAAGTTCTGTTACTCCTCAGTTGCAAGTTTTAATTCCCACTTTTCTCTTCAAAACTTAGTATTTTATATATGTGTTGGACAACCATGTGGTGACTGTTCATTAATGATGTAGTTCTTTCTACATCTAATAATGCTTGAACTAAATTGTGAGATGAACAATTGCATGTGCAAGATCTCATTCTCACTAGCTAGTCTGTAGTTAACTCATCATGCAACAGAGGACAAATCTTAGTGCAGCTGTAAAACAGGTTTTTTTTTCCACAGACACTGAATTTGACTATATAATGTGCTTTAAATGATCTGCTCCTAGAGTGGCGAGCACCATAGTGTTATTCTGTTTATTCCATTTTGATTCAACTCTTTCCTTTTTATTTATTTCTCCTTTTTTTCTACCCCCTGCCTTTTCCTCATGTTCTCCTTACTGTATGTGTAGTGCCCAAAAACCAGATGTGGCCGCAAAAGCAAAAAGAGGAGAAAACCACCCCAAGTATGTATGCTGGAAAGATTAAAGATCCGGTATTTTCTGTTTGCTTTAATTATGGTGGATGGAATTTGATGTTTTTCCAGATCAGTCTGTATTCCAGGAAGGGATTTTGCAGTTCTGTTCTTGACATAAAATGTCAACATAGACTGAAAATCAATTTCATAACCCTTCCAATTATAGCCATTGTTGGAAGATCCTGTCATGAAATGAGAAGCTCAGTACAAAACTATTTAAGTATGACATAGCATGGTAAGATATGTTTTCTAAGCACTAGTACCATTTGCAAGAAAAATGGAATGCCAAGATGCTTATCTTAGCTGGGGAAAAAATATAACTGAGTATATATCTGGATGTCATGGAAAAAATTAATTTATTTACTCCAAAATTATTTCTAAGGACAATAATTGTAAATATGTGTGTGTGTCTGCCAAACAGTAATTTACTTACTTATTTTTTAAACTTTCAGGTAAATCTTTCTCAAGGGTCAAGTAGCGGCTCTCAACATAATCTAAAGGGCTTGATGGTGATCCATGGGATCCAGTTACAGCAAAGGAATCTGCCTACAATGGAAAAAACACTGTAAGAACTATAGATCGTCTCTTGTAAAGTAGAGCACTGTAATGGTGAGAGAGATTCAACCTTAAAAATTGTGAGATAACTTTCTACACTGGAGAAGGCAATTCTTCATTATTTTCCTGCTTGTTTATTTATTTGTCCTCTGTGAAACAGTATACTACTGGTACAGGTTTTCTGTTTGCTTGCTGCCGGTTTACCACTTCATGAATGGCTGTGGCATTACTGTTGGCACTAGCTGACATCCTGAAAAGAGATGAAGCTCAGAATAGGGTAGAGAAACTGGTTTGCTCAGTTCCTAGAAGTGGACCCGTGATACATTTAGACTGTGGGGGGTGAAAGCTGATGTTTTCAGTGTGGGTTTTTTTAATCTGTTCTGTGATTAATTTTTACTTTTATACTGGAATCTTGAATTGGAAAGTTTCTAGTTCAGTAAAAAAAAAAAAAGATAAGCTTAATTTTCCTTTTCCATCCCCTGTTCTTTTCTAATTTCGCTGTAAATTACTTTATATAATTATGCAAAAAAATGAAAACACATCATCTCTATCTACATGTAATATTGTTAATGTCACATGTAGATGTGTACTTTGGTAATAGGGTAATTATCAGTCATGTTGACCATATCTCTTCTGGTTTTGTAATTCTTTTGTTAGGGACCTGGATGACAAACGGCCAAGCTCCAGCTCCATCCTCTCTACCAGTGTGCGGCCAAATCATCCTCTAGAGCTCAGGACATCATCCCTGTCACGTTCCACGAGAAGGCAAAACCTACCACCACGTACCCTGCATCCCATCACCACCAGCCTCTCCCATACTGGGACCCCAGGGTCTGTGGACAGTGTCTTCAGGGAACTCGATTGTGTGTTTCAAAACCAGTTTCTCACTGCGAGTTACCATATTTGGAGAACACAGCTTATACAGAAAGCTTTCAGTTGAACAGAAAGAACATGAATTGTTTGATTAAATAAATTAACGGCCCAAGATGAACTTAAAAGTCTAGTTTTTGGAAGTCAAACTACCTGTTGCTACCTTAACCCAGACTAGGCTGTAAGGAAGGTGCTCATCTTAGGTTATCTGACTGACCAAAGGACTCTTACTGAACTCAGTTCAATTGTTAACATCTCCCCTTTATTACCATGTATGTTTAAATGTATATAGAGAGCACGAGGAAAGTATTTTTAAAAATGCTGCTTATAGTTTGAAGCTCTTCTAATGTGTTCTGTAAGAACATCCTTCCTTCAGTCAACTCCAGAATGCACATAGAGCTAAGGCCTCTTGATCAGTTCTAGCACTGTATCTAGAAAATAGATTATTCTTTCACATTTCTCCTGTGACTAATGTTTAATTGATTTTGTATTTTGTGCAATTAGCTTGGTTTAGCTCCCTTTAGGAGGCTTCCAAAAGCCTCTTGCACCTCTTCCTTCAACTACTCAAACAAAATATGGAGAACGTAGAAGCCTTGTTTTACGCCCAGATGTTTTATTTGACACTTGTAGTAAGTGAAAGAGCTACAATATGCATTGGCATTGTGTAGCTTTTTTTACTGTCTCAGCCTAAAATATGGGCCGCTGCTGTTTTCTAGGCTCATTGTTTATCTGCAGTTGCTAGGCTGAAGCTAGCAGTAAGCAGTACTTCAGCCCAAAGGGTATGAACAAAGAGCAGAAAATAACACTTTGTCTGGGAATGGGCAGAAAAGATACTACCATTGTATGGTAACTGCCTGTGAAGACACTTTTCTATATACACACCTTCATTCTGCAGTTATCAGTGCAGTGCACTGCACACTCGTTTGATGACGTGCATCGTAACGACCAACTAGCTTTTACATACATCTGTTCCCAGGATTTCTGCTGGGGTACTCAGACTCACTTTGCCTATATGCTTAATATTAAATATTCCGAAAACTAGAAGTGCTTCTTAACAGATGAAAAAGATTTCTGCCAAACTTCACCTGCTGCACAATTCCTCTTTTAAATACAGACTCCAATAGTCAGCCCTAGTCTTGTAGCTAAATTCTACAACCCTTGCTCTTAGTGTTAACATTGTTTGTCTACATAATGCCAAAGAAACTGACAATATTGTATGTGTACACAATGACAAACCTACTAAACTATGTTTTTTTCTGTCCTTGGTGCATTTCAGTCTGACTGCACATGAGCAGTTGACCTCACTCTCCCCACTGCTGCTAAACCGAAATAATCTCCTACCACCTATTACTACCACCAATGCGACAGAGCATGGGAGCACTGCAGGATCCCAGAGGCAAATGGTAATAAGCACAACAATTTTAGTATGGCACAGTGTAAAGTTGTAATTGCTGCTGATCAAATTACCTAACCCAAGAGTTCTAATTTGTTTGTTATCTTGTAGGTGACAGCAACTGAAAGAGATGCACAAAAAAAAGCTAACTTTTTTGACTAACAGCATCACTGATAGTTGAATACTTTTAATTCCAGTTAATGCCCGATTTTTTTTCTTCCCCATAACTAGATGTAGAATGATTGACTTGGAAAATTAGCTTTTAATCCCTAGGCTAATTATTTTAGATGTACTGCTGCAAGAAGAAGCAGCCATAACTGTTATTCTTCAATGCAGAAATCAAGAGGGAGCGCAAGTCGAGCTCACAGTGTAACAACACACGAAGATACCCACCAGCAGCTACAGGAGCCGCTTTTCTTACCTGGTAGTTTCTCCAGGCCTAACACAACCAATGCATTCTTGGTAAAGCATGGCAAATTATACCAAATCATCCTTAGTTACTCAACAGGGTGCTTTGGGGATCTCGCTATACTCCCGACAGCCTCCATATAAGCAATATATATATATAATCCAAGTTTGAGATGCTTGTGGAAAAAGCTAAGTGTTACTCTACGTAGAACATTCAGTCTATCGTCTGCACTGGTAACCTGGCATCTTCTGGGAAGGCTTAAGAACTGGGGGGTAGGAGAGGATGCTTTGAAGTTTTGCACAGACATTCAGAAGTCATTCCTGCAGCTGTATTCAGAAACACAAGGGAAGAGTCTTCATTGCTTTTTTGCACAAGTTTGCTGTACTATTAATGTCCAGTCTGTTTCAGTATCAAATGCTCTGGGTTTAATTTATTGAAACACCTGGTCTACTGATATCTTGTCCTATCTAACAAAGTATTTTTATCTAAGCTTTAAAAGCTGTAATTTCAACAGTAGCTTTTAAATAGCTGCTTGTTTAGTTTCTGTGTATACTTTCAACATCCTTGACTTAGCAGTTACGAGTGTACAAAATTTCTAAAGTCTATTTTGAAATACAATTTCCAGAAGTTGTCAGAATGCCTCTAACTGGCCCAGTGATGGTTCTAAGTAAGAGTGTTATAAAAGTATAATTATACTGCTAAAGTTGATTTAACCCTCCTTGAACTTGTGAAAGCTCTACTTAGGCCTTTACAACATCTTATGAATTAAGAAGTATATATGTTTAAGTACTTTGTAGCTGCATTATAATCTTGATGTTTAAATTTTTTTTTCATGCAAACTTAAATAACTTGAACTGTCTTTTCAGCCAGACCCACAGCACCGCCATTCTTGCACTGTTATTGATTATAGTAATCAATCTTGGACAAGGAGAGGATCAACAGGTTCAGGTATGCTCATCAGTCGTAGAATTTAGTAAGATCAAATGAGAGGCAGGCTTTTGGGACAGGGATGCAGTTCCTACATAGGTAATTACATTGAGGAGGTTTTTCAAAGTTCTATTTAATGTTTTAAAATTTCCTTTATACAAGTTTTACATGTGTGTCTAGAGTGTGTTTGGGTGTGGTTATTTATTACCATTTAGTATTTTAAATCATTTAAGGAAGCTTAATGTGATCAGCCCCAGTGCCTCTCATGTCAAAGTTAAGAGGAGTTGCCAATTTAAACAGGAGCTAGCTATACAGCTAAAAGAAATTTTATTATGTCCAAAAGACACTTATTTGCACTGTATCTGGAAGAGATTGTACTAGATCTGCGCTAGAATAACACTAGATCAACTCAAAGTATATTTTAAAGCCAGTAACTGTACCAGTCCAATTCAGATGCATACTCCGAAATCAAAATATGCTTGTACTGTTTAATGGGTAACAATTGGATGAACTTTGTGGAATGACTTAGCATAACCTAAAATGAATCTCATCTAAAGTTACTTATTTTTAATTGATCAAAATACCAAGGCAGCAGGAAGGCATTTTTTGTTTAGGATATAAAATGCATACTCTTCTATCCAGTTTCCCTTCCTTCTCTGCAAGGTCATCTCCTTAATTTGTTTATGGTTAATACACTTTGAAAATAGTCATCATATATGCTTCAGAATAGCTACACAGTCACAACCAGCGTTGGGGCTCTTTTTTAATAGGAAGCTGCAAGACTAAGTTGCACGTGTGTACACAAGTGTTATAGTAGACCAATGAACCTTACTTATTTCAACTTTACCTTCAAAGATTTAGGCTTTTCACCTCATGGCACACACAAGGACTAGTCTAGTCAGTTGAAAGGGATTAGAGATTACAGCAGAGCAAAAGTGAACTTTTGTGCCCTGGAACAGCTTTTCTGAACACTGTCTTTGTGACTGTCACTTCAGTTCACCTTAAGCACTTCCTGAGAACTTAATTTTGTATTGATGCTAAGTATCACCTCCACCTGGAGCAGGGAAGTTACACTGGATTCCTTTCATCACAGTGTTTTGGGATCCCTTACGGAGTTGTCAGAATTTCACACATAAAAATATACTAACAAGACAGGATTGAAGCTGCAAAGGCTTCAAGGTTGATAGCCATGTATTACAATAAAAAGACAAAAAAAAAAAAAAAAGCATTTTAGTTTTAAACTAAAGAAGTATTTGGTACTTTTAATACCTTCCAGAAGTCTTAAAGTTGTACGTGATCTCTGTTTATTAGGTCTTCAGCTGTGCAGTTCTGTGAAAGCCCACACTCGAAGTGGATCAGTCAAAAAAAGCAAACAGGGGTTCTGACGTGCCATGAAGAAGTATCCATCCATCACCACGTTCTCAGCAACGTCAACATTGTTTACAGAGAGTTTTCAAACACCCTTCCTTATGAATAGTTATTTTTGTATAAATCTAACAAGCAGCTGCCAAAGATTAGAAGCATTAGAAACATTCCATTTTCTACCAATAGAAAAAGGTATATTCCAGTGGAAGGGTGTGTATTCTCCAGCGGACAGTGAAGCCTAACTCCTAGAAAATCCAGCAAACGCTCTTGAGTCATTGCAGTTTCCCATTACTGGCTTGTGACTGGTTCATCTTCTTACAGGCAGGTGCTGCAGAACCTGCTGGTTTTTCCATTAGCTCTACAAAAGATTAACTAGGCCGTCCATAGGAGTAGTAATGTAAATTTTATAAAGCTATATTTGTATGTTTAAAGCAATATTATACTACCAAAAGCAAGCACTGCACATGATGCTGCTTCTACAATTGACTTAGACCTAGGTTAGGTTATGAATCCTGTAGTAACTGCAGCAGATACTACCACAGTAGTGTAAAAATAAGGTAGCACACCAGAACTGACAGCTTTAAGGGTAGCACAGCACGGACTTTTCCTGTGTTACATACTTACACCTCTTCCTCAGTGACTGAAGAAGGTTTAAGAGGCAAAAAGGAGCCTCTTACTACAAGTAGCTCCAGACAGTATTCCAATAAAGTACATGGTCTTCCTGGTGAGATATTTAATGATAATTTCACAGAATAGCTCAGTCTCCCTCTCTAAAAATACCTGCAATTATACAAGATTTCTGCACTCCGCCATGAAGTTCCACAACCCACAGGTGCC